TTTAATTTAATATAATATAATACATGTGTAGATAGATAGATAAATAAATATATATTAGAGTATACATATATTATATAGTACATATCCTTTTAGAATTAAAACTTGCGCATACAAATACATAATCCGACCAGAGTTGTCTAATTTTACGTATGAATGGAGACCATTGAGCTTGGAGCTCTTAACGTTGAAAAAAAGGGGGGGGGGAGGGGGATTAGATCGGAAATCTGTAATCGCATTTCTTCTAAAGCAATAATTATCTCTCTATTTGTCAGGTTTTAGTGCATACCTCGCTGTTTTCTGATGGGCTTTTAACAACCGACTAATCTGAGTACTTCTAGAGATCTGTGTTGTATCATTCGATTTATTTATTTTATATTTTAGTTTGCCCTCATAATCTTCGATAGCAATTTTAATTAATCACTTTGCTTGTAGTACGCTGCTCCCATTCGAATTGAGACATGCTATCACTGCTCACACCTGATGTCACTGTCTTGTATACGCTGCTGTCATTGTCATCTCCCTCAGCTGTATTCCCAACGATAGTCGCGTCGATATCAATTACCACTGTACCCTTGAGGGTCGTGCTGGACCATCTTCCCCAAACACCTCCATCCTGGAGGGCTCTATTGTTTAAAAATGTACCTTGTATTGCGAACAGACTGTCATCCTCATGTATGTTTGTACCCACGGCACCACCTCGACCTTCGGAAAGATTGTCGATATAAGAACCGTTAAGAACGAAAGAAGCGCCACTATAAAGCTTGATACAACCCAGAGCTCCAAATCTCGCTCCGTTACCTTCGTCGGCGGCTGTGTTATTTGTATAAATTCCGTTATCGAAAAATTCACCTATTATGGCCTGTATCTGGATTGCGCCACCCTGATTTGCTTGGTTACCGCTGAACTGAGCCGCAATGTATACATTGCCAGCCATCCAGTCGAAATAGAGTGCACCTCCGCCAGCATGTCTAGTGCTCGGACTGGGAAAAAACGCTCGATTGTTCTTGAATTCACCGTCAATATCGATTGTGCCTGATTCAGGAAGATAGTTAACCGCAATAGCTGGGCCTCCGGCCCATTTGTCCCCAATTGTCGTGGTTGTGAGTAGATTTTCAAACAGGCATTGGTCATCTATTGTCAACTCATTGGTGCCGCTCAGAAAAATGCCCACACCCGGCTCTTGGCTCTGCATGTCGTGTATGTATATATTATTGCAGAGGAGTTGCACCTTTTGGTTTGCACCCTCGCCTTCAAGATCAGACTCGCTCAAAGAATGAAATGCAGCAACGTATTGACCCTCGGATTCGCTGGTAATTTCCAAATCCTTGAAAACTATATTCTGTTCATCTGGATTAGTGGCCATAAGCATAGCTCCTGACAGTGTTTCGAAGCCCGATGTAGCCATGATCTTGGCCCTGTTACCTTCATGAGCGCATGCATGTCCTTGAAGTGTGATGCTCGAATTAAATTCTATCGGTTCCGACACGTTCACTACAACACCACCTACGTGTATGGTATTATCGTCTCTGGTGTCATCGAAAGCCTCCTTGAGTGTGTCGTAGCACAGATTGTTAAGTAGTACGCCTTCGGTACAATTGCAAACCTGGTGCATCGGTCTATCGGGTGATTGGGGTGACTGGGATGGACTTGGGGATGGGCTTGGACTTACATTACCCTTTACGGGCGATTGGGACGGGCTTGGGGAAGGACTTAGATTTATATCATCCTTTACAATCAGCACTATATTTGCCCGATTAGCCGCTTCGCATTCCCCTAAGCCAAGATAGTATTCCTCCTTCTGTTTTCTTTTCCTTCCGTTTGTCGCCAGGTAAGCGCACTGTCCACTGGTAGCGTCTCTCAGCAGAACAACCGGTTCTTCGGCGCTACCGTCACTTTCATTTACAGTAAAAGTTTCCCAACGCTCTGGTGTATTTTCACATAAAGGCTGGCTTCCCGACATTGTTTCAACTCCGATATAGTCCATATTGCGAGCGTGTAGCAATGAAAGACACACCTCCTTACCGCTTTCATCCACATACCCAATTTGATTTGTCCTGATCCATTTGAAGTCTCTTCCCATGTCTTCGGGTATAAAGAATTTGTCACCCAAATCGTATTTGATGGCAACATTGTTCTTATCCAATATGGTAGCCTCAATTGTAAACGTCGGTGATTGTATAAATCGACCCGACGTGCCACTGGCGGCAGCCAACACTACTATAAGTCCAGCCAGGCTTATAATAGCGGACATAATTTGTTTTTGTTGCTGGTCTGTTTAATGCTAAATATGTTGGTCACTTTGTCAATCAATGCCTGTACTTATACTCCAAATCCGTTATAAATAACATCTTTTCCGGCTACTACATATCCGTCTCCGGGAAATTCTCGTGGTAGGAAATGCACAACAGGGGATTACACTCAGCTTTTCTTGGACATGGATAAGTATAAGATTCGCCGAAGTTGTATTGTGAACTTATGCATGTGCGGCCCACTGACGTCTTGGGCCTTAGGCCACGAGTGACGACACAGGCGCATCAAGATTGAATCTATTTACTCCACCTTTTATCAACCTTATTTGGGCCAAAAGCCGGAGCCCCAAACTGAAAACCCAAGAGACTAAATGACTCATTGTCACTTTTTTAGATTTTTTTTTACACAGGAGGTTCTGGTTCCGCTCATTCACTCACCTATGGCTGCCCCTTCACGGCATCACCAGCTCAACAGAGGACAGCCAGAGGACCGCTGTCCTGAGTCCTCTGGCAGTCTGGACTCTGGTGGCAACTGTATAAAAATTTAACCGTCACGCCTTGTATGAAGTTGTGAGGCAGTGAGCCAGTGACTCGGGTCTCAGGTCTCAAGTGAGGATCAGTGAACCGCCAGCGACTCACCGAATATATATATTTAAATTTGACAAATAAGAATCAAATAAGTATACCATGGCCCTCTGGATTTCAGGATTTGGGACCCTGCTAAATTTACGATTTCCGCTATGTATGTCTGTACGAAAACCTGATTTGAGATTTCTGCTCGCGACCATATTATCCAGAGGACAGAGGCCAGAGGGGCGAGGGCCATGCAAATAAATAAAAATAATAAAATTATTAGAGATGGACTTAAATTTTTTGGGAAAACAATACGTTTTATTTTGCGAAACAAACTCAGAAACTCTTCAGACTAGTTAAAAAAAAAGAGTATTTAGAGACCCCGTCTACTGTCTCTACTACTGCAATTTGATTCGCCAAAGTAAGGTCGTATTTTTGAAACAATCTGTGATCTTTAAAATTTTAGTCAATTCTACACAAGCTAACCCAATATATAGTAGATGGACAAGTGACGTAGCTAGGGCTATTTCACCACTTTGTAACTCGAATTGTCCATGCCGCCCTCACTGGTTTATTATCTATGTTGTAACATATCTCATGTATGTATGGATTGATATATCATAATATCATATTTGCCGTCTCCTAAATCTGGCCTGCACAGTGCGTGTACACACGAATTCAAAATGACTCCCGGGAGTGCCCTTCTAAAACAAAACACTATACAGTATCAAAATTCAATGCTCCTCGATATACTATGGTGAAACTTCGCGATCCTATATAATACTAATTGTCAATTTCAAACCAAACTATTCCAACAAATAAATATACGACATCCGACAATACATACAAATTCAATATGTACACCACCTTGCCTGTGCAATAGATAGCAATATCAATTCATGATACAGGCCACCGTTCAAAATGAAATGCTCTATCTCATATCAATTCGGAGATTTTTAGGCTAACAATCATTACAAGTGGTTCGGCTAGAATCAAATCGCTAAAGCGGGCACCGATTTTTACCTACAAGCGCAATCAGGAGTGCATCAGGGATGTGCAGGGTATCAAGCATGGACTTGCGATGGATGGAATTATATTGGCACAGAGAACTGCTGAGGGTACGACACTTGGAATGATTCTAACGACAGATGAGTGACAATCAAATCCGCAGAAAGAGTCGGATTTTCAGACGAACCCCTTGTGGTACAGAAAGAACATAACTCCGGAATGTACGCATACCTTGATACAAAATACAATACCACGTAAACGATGAGAACGTTTTAAATCTCGGCCTCGGTGATTGCGATGCAATGAACAGGGCTCAACTAGAATACACAATACACAACTAAGTATTGTCCACGCCAGAGGTAGTTGCGTTAGTTAGTTCCTGGATGGCTTGGTCGCATCATCACACATAAAAAAGAGAAAATAGTAGCTCGAGAGGAATGTATGGCAACGTACACTTCACAGTAAATGCAGGTATATAAACTCACCAATGGAGGGAATTGAATAAATTTTCAGAGTAACGTTTAGTTTCACTAGATGAACAATTAAACTGAAACTAGTTTGTAAAAAAAGATAAATTATTTGAGAAACCATAGCAGTTTTAGTAAATTAAATCCCTTGATATAAACATAGATATACATAAATACATACATACATA